CCCGAAACCATCAGTAACAGACCGTCGGTATTTCACTGACGTGATGTTAACACTCCTAATATCTTCATTTCCACATCCCTTCTATCGTAATCTTTTCACTGCTTTGCGCATCTCTTTCTAGAATTTGTAGAGAGCGCTCGTCTCTCAGGGCGAAGTCGCGCCGTGTCGTGTTTGATGATTGCCTCGCGTACAGCATTGCGTCAAAAGCCGGAGATAAAAGGAGATACATTTCAGCAGTTTTACAGCAATCGAAGCAGGGCCTCAGTGTCCTCCCTACGCTCCACTGTTTGGCTTATCGGCCATTAACGACGCGTAAACGTCTCGCTTTTTACGATACGTCGTTTTTACGAGGACAATTCTGCGCTGATTTACCGTCTCCCATCTCGCGTTCTGACGTAACTCAACACCGCGCTAGCCTCGTTCTGGGCACCGGGTCTTATCACGTGACCATAACTCGCCTATCTATGGACTGATTACGTCGGCACACGGGTAGCCGGAGCTATGGCGAATTCGGGCACCGAGAGGGTTTTTATCCTTTCAACAGCCGAGTTTATTCTATCGTCACTGACCCGGTGTGTGTGGGGGGTGGTGGAGGGAGCCTGCATCCACCCAGACAGCTACTTTCGTTTTATAAATGTTAAACACCAGCTATTCGGACTCGAGTCTGAATAGCCTCCCCGTGGCTATTCGGACTCAAACTCCAATGCGCGTGCGCAATCACCGGGTGTGAAACGGACGGACAGGCAATTCGACATCGGCCTTAATTCCCTGATTTCTACGGTCTGGTCAAAATTTTCGACAAAATTTAACAATTAAGAAAAGTATTTAGTGACGTCAAAAGTGAACAACAGTTACAAAACCTGAAATACTACACAACAAAAGCAAACAGGGAAACGGCAATCTGAGCTCAAAACAGTGAAAACATATTGAAAATCAAAGTTTCAGAACAACAAATGATTAGATCTATAACTATCAATAGGTAGTCTAAACCCACTTTATTTGACGTGAACAACAAAATTGGACCAATTGGAAGTCCAGTTAAAAATTTAGAAGAGAAAAGTTAAAACCTTTCTAAAGGGAATAAAAAGTCAGTCATTCAAAGTAACGCGCATTGGTGTTTGAATCCGAATAGCCATGGCAGGCTATTCAGACTCGAGTCCGAATAGCCACTTCGTTCGTTTATGTTTATTCCTCAGCTTTACATCTTCCCTTTTCATTGACTTAATTTTTTCCTCTCTCCAATTCAACGCGGCAGAAGTTTTTCCCCTTCCCTTCCCGTCTTTTTTCTTCTTCTTTTCTCCATTTATTGTTTAATTCTGGAGTTGTTTTTTCGTTTGTTTGTTTTTTCCTGTTGTTTTTTTTCCCCATCCGAATTATCACTCCGCCTCTTTCACAGTTTCCTGCAGCCCGAGTGGAAATCACGAGAGTTATCTCTCACATTCCCATCCGCTGCTTTAGATCCTTTTCCTCAAAAAAGTGAGTTCATTCAGAACAGAATATTATTTCGCACTCATCCTCATCTTCCCCACGTGATAAGGTACCATACACGTGTGGGTCACAAACAAATCACACCGTAAACCAAAAAGAGAAATTCTAAGCTGGTTGTTTTATTTTATTCCTTCCCCCCAGTTATAATACCAACAAGAGAGGAGGCTCGTAATATCTAATGCAGCGTATTGCTTTCGTCGTCTCTTCCGTAATAATAATAGCATTGAACATGATAACAAGCAAGCAGGCAGCGTCCACAGCATCAGCCTCACAGTGGTATCGTCATAAAGGCCACAGATAATGATGACGAGATCAGGTGAACAGCGAGAGATGTCGTTAGTCATGGCTGTGTGTTTGAGTGTTTGGGGACAGGGCAGGTTTTACGTCGCACGTTTTTGATGGTGAGCTAGCAGAAACGAGCTGTGTGGAAACGCTAGAGTCTAGAGTTGTCGGATTAATGGCCGGACTTGTACGGTTAATGGGACGATCGAGTTGTAGGGTTAATGGGCGGAGTTGTAGGGTTAATGGGACGAGTTGTAGGGTTAATGGGACGAGTTGTAGGGTTAATGGGACGATCGAGTTGTAGGGTTAATGGGACGAATTGTAGGGTTAATGGGACAAATTGTAGGGTTAATGGGCGGAGTTGTGGGGTTAATGGGAGGGTGGCGATGATCACCGACATAGGGGAGATAATCCACATGATGCTGTTGCATTTTTTAAATTACCGATTGCAATAATAATTATAATTGTTGAAAGTCGTACAGGTTCACTCAGAACATTCATATATTATTATTATTTGTTCACTCATTTGCACATGAATATTTCTTCATATAAATTTATTCATAGTTTACATGTACATTTATTTATTTATTTATTTATTTAATTAT